AATGGAAGAACATGACAGGACCACAAAGGATACAGTGACCATTACAGTCTTTCCCGTAATTCCTGGACCAAGTGCTCTCACTGCTGGGACAACCTGATTAGCGCTCTGAGAACACAGATGCGGAATAATTCAGTCGCCCGGACACACCTGCCGAGTATTTTTTGGCCATCAAGCTAAAACCAATGAAAGAGCCCTGGACCCCAACGGACGTGTTCTGCCTACACATACTGCATCTATTGTACCCTGACTGGGAATCGAACCGGGACCTCTCAGTCTACGGGACGACACTCCATCCACTGAGCCACATGCCCTGGGCTATTGCTTTTCTGTTTTATATCCTATGTGTAAGGGAAATCATGAGTTCTTGTCCTTTTACATCCTACTTTTTCAGTTAGCGTAGTACTCTCAGGATCCATCCATGTTGCTGCAAATGGTAATATTTCCCTAAGAAGGATACATTTGTGGAAACAATGGATCCAGTGGTCTCTGTCTTATAAATTTCCAGTACCGTCTCACACAAATAGGCTTGGGAAGGCAAGGACTTGGAATTCCAGAAGAAAAGCGGCGTATTCCAACACATTTAAAATTATGTTTGAATGCTTTGAAAGGTTTTTGTTTTTAACCATCCCATTTTTTTTTACAAACTTTGTAAATTTTATGTTTGCCTGATTTTTACACTCATTTAATTAGCATACATATGTATCACCACACACATACACACACACACACACACACATTTTTAATGCTAATTATTTTAACGATGTCACTGTAAAAATGAATAGCAAACTCACAAACCCTCTGAATCAATCAATGTCAGCTCAACATAGGCCTGGTCCAGTAACATCTGCCCACGTGCTCTCTCAACAACGTGTTTGGGAAGAACCGCTTGACGCGAGTTCTTCCCACGCGCAGATTTGGCAGGTGACACAGCCCGCGAATCAAGGCTCTCGAGGGCAGGAGATGCCAGTGAGGACAGCGGCCACCCTCCGCGTCAGACCCTCAGTGAGCCGCTCTGCGCGGAGACAGACTGGGGACACCCTGATTAATGGGAAGGGTGGCCACAGGGGGGTCGGCTGCCCGACGGAAGGAAGAATGTTTCTGGGGAGGGGACTCCTCCTTCGTCTGCTGCAAGGGCTCAGAGAGCAGTCTGCAAGGTGGCCTGCTTCCCCGTCTGTGGGCTGGGCCTCAGGAGGGACGGAGGTCAGGGAGAGGGGTGCACGCCAGGGCCACGGACTCCTTCCTCCATGCATCCATTCAGCAAATACCTCGTGAGCACCTGCTGTATGCCCATGGAATTCCGGGCCCAGTGGGTTCAGCAGTGACCAAGGAGAAGTCCCTTCCCTGCAGAGCTGACTCCAGCAAGTCAGGCTTTGTCGCCGGAAGCCAAGTGCCCGAGCAGGACTGGACTGGGACTCCCTGCTCTGCACGGGTTGGACCAGTCTTGAAGCCCACATTTCAGTTCTAGGGACCGTCTTTCCAGGACAGACACAGACAGAAATGAGCTCACCCAGACTAAATACAGGGAATGGGCTCAGAACCCGCCGGGGGCGGGGTAAGGGACACAAGAGAGTTCACTGAATTTTAAAAAGAGTAACAGTCTAACCAGTTGCTATGTGAGAGCGAGTCTCCAGGGGGACAGGGGACAGGCTGGAAGGTCAAGTAGGGAGACCACGATGAAAGTCAAGAAAATTTTGCCTAGAAAGAATCATAAACGCAGAGTCGGAACAGACCTTCGGGGTGGGGGGCGGGACAGCCGGACCCCTCGTGGTCACAGACACGTCAGCCAGTTGCTCCGAAACGTCTGCAGGACAGAAGCTTAGTCCTGGTCTCCAGCGGCAGCCCGGCCCGGCTTGGCACAGTCCGTGAGGACGCTCAGAGCTGGGCTGTCCCCTGCAGTGACCACTGCCCTGCATGGCCACTGAGAACTTGCCGTGGGACTGGGCTGAGACAGCCGAGCTGTGACGGCACCGGAAGGGGCGGGAGAGAATAACGCAGAACAGCGCAGCGGGGTGCGAGCCCGCTGTAAGGATGGGGAACATCCCTGCTCTGTTAACAGCGACTGCCTTGTTCCGAGGGGAGAAAGCCCCCTGCCTCAGGAATGCTGTCCATCCTCCTGACCTGAGAACAGACCCCCCTCGTGTTGGCAAGACCAACAACCTTGGAGTGTTGGAGGCGGGCACTGGAGACAGGCCACATTCCAGCTCCCGTGACTTCCCCGCGCCCGGGATCTGTAACCACTTCACCCTCTGATCCCCCCTTTGCCTACTTCCCCCTGTAATAGCCAATATAAGCAACCGGCTATCATGGGGGGGCGGGGGGGGGCAGATTTTTGCAGGATGGCCTGGCTGCTCTCCCACGCTGCCGGCAATTAAACGCTCATATACGATTCAACCTCATCTTTGCTTAATTGGCTCACGTAGCGACAGGCAGCCCGGACCCAGTGGTCCGGTTTCAGCATCACACTTCGCCCTGACAGAGGCTCAGGGTGAACTAGAGAGTAAAGAATGACTCATTACGACCGTTCCGGATGGATTACCCATCGAGAAGATATTTGGGAGGTGCTGCGTTGCACGGGGTGAATTGTTAACACCCACTTCCCCTCGTTCTCCCTACCTTGTTAACGCGGCTGCTAGAAGACTAAGCTCACGTGTGCGGTTGGCACTCGTCCCCGTTGGAGCGGAGCCCTTGAGGCAGGGCTGCTGCTCGCCCTCGGGGCCAGGGACCGGCCCGCGGGGTTTTCTGCAGGCTCCTTCGGTTCCCAGGTGGGAGGGACAGAGCCTCCCGGAAAGGGACTTTGCTTTGGAAATGGATACCCTGAGCATCAGGTGCCGATGCCCAGCCCTTAGCAGCGGGACAGGGAGAGGACTCATGACGGCAGGACGCTGCGTGGGCAGGTCGCTCCTCACGTCAGGAGGGACCCAGGTGAGCGTGTGTGTCCTTACCTGTCCCACCCTGAAAGACGCTGGCACTGGCGCCATGCAGTGGCCCTCAGGGAGAGTCTGTGCACACTCCTGCCCGCGTGGGGACCACGGAGCACTCACTGCCGAGGCCGTGACTGCGGATGAACTCGTCCTGCTGCCGCAAGCATGCCCACCTGTCCTGACCCCGAACAGAACACAGGCCACTCTGAAGGTCAAGTCCAGCCGACAAAATCAGCCAGCGAGCCGCCCGGCAGCCTCACAGGGGTCTCTGAGGCTGTGGACATACATGTTCTCGCAGAGGAATTCAGCTCAAGTTTTCACGCGAGTCAGGGGTGAGAAGGAACCGACAGAACCCAGAAGTAACGAAGGGGAACAAAGCAATGACCGGAGGTCGGCCGAGGAGGAAACCCCATTCGGCTTCCAAGTCGCTCTCAGCTGCGGAGGTCAATGTGTACATCTCTCCCGTCCGTCTCATCCGGACGATGAAGAAGCCCAACGAGCAAAAGGAAGGAATTGCTTTTTCTAAACCAGCCCCCTGCACACTCAGCACTGCAGACTTGCGTCCGCGGGGACAGATTCCCCGGACGGAGGGAACCCGCCACTGTAATCCAGTGCAGGCAAGGGACGGAGGTGAGCCTCGTTCCACAAAGTCCATTTCCACCCCTGAGCCAGACCAGAGCGGCCAGAGCAAGGGCATCGAGACAGGCCCTCGGCCCCTCCAGTCCCCCTGCTTTAAATTTGTCCACTGCTCAGCGGACTGCCCAGAGATCAAGGGAGGAATTCTAGCAGCTGGCCGCATTCTGTGCTCAACTATGTTTTTGATATTAGATTTGCCCATCCATTTGCTCCCCAGTGAGAGGGCATTTTTTTCTTTTTGGCTAAAGAGGAAATGCCAGTTATTTATAGCAACCGAAGGAAAAGGCGGCGGGAAGCCACGCCACCAGGCGGGCAGCTCCGTGGGCAGTGTTTCTCGGCCACAGTGGGTGGGATCAGGACACTGTCCAGGCTGCTCCCCTGGCCTCCGGCCTGAACACAGTCCCATCAGGAGGTCGCAGGGTGCTCCAGGACAGCGGGGCTCCGCTTCGGGTCGGGTGCTCAGTCACCGCGGTCTCAGCCCGGGCCTGGTCACAGGAACTGCCCCTCACGGGCTACACGTGGGCGTGACTCAGCGACGGACAGGGCCTGCTTTCTACAGACACGGCCCGCACAGGCGGCGTCTTCCTGTGGTCTCTACTTTTCTTTTTTGGTGGGGAATATGGAGCCCTGAGAAAATATACTGCATTTGCTTTTAGGGTGTGAATCTCCCCCCCCTCATTGTTTGAAAGAATTTAGAGTTAGTACAGAATATTAAATTGGTTATAATTGTTCCAAGTGTATAATATTGTGATTTTGTACATTTCTATAACCTACAGTGTGATCACCCCTCTAATAAGAGTGGGAATCTACCTTCTCCACTTAGAAAAAAATACTCTCTGGAGTGTGTTTTGGTTGCACACACACACACACACACACATCTCTGGTGACAAAATCCTCCAAGAAAGGCTATTTCTCAATAACTGTTCTTATCAAAACTGTAAGGATTTCTTCTAAGTGACTTGACCACCATTTTCCACCAAAAAGGCAACATTTTCCGGGACATCACCTTAGCATTCCTTCTGATTGTGGCCATAATAACACACAGCCCCCCACAAGTTACCTGTTCTCATAGCATCAGAATGTCAAGAGATTATCACCTACAGCAGAACCTTGAACAATGTCATTTGGTCATAACGTTGAGGAGAAGCCTGTGGGGAAGCCGCGTGTGGACTGAATTCCTGTGTATGTCCCTGAGCCTGTGGGGAAGACACGTGTGGACTGAATTCCTGTGTATGTCCCTGAGCCTGTGGGGAAGCCGGTTTCATTAGACGTCATTTCGCTTCAAGTCACAGAACCAGCGATGACATTCAGGGAGGACGCACCGTACCTTGCTTCATTCTTCAGCATGGCCCATGCAAACTCTTTAAAATTTGAAAATATCTCAAATGTCAGAAACAGATAAACATGGACATTTCCTCGCGTGGCTCCTCTCACGTCACGTACCTGGCATGATGATGTCAGAAAAGCCCAGCTTCCTCGTGATGGACAGGCCGTGGGAAAACACCGACGCACACTCCCTCCGGATCTGCTCGATGTCCCCGTGCAGCAGCTGCAGGGACACGGCCAGGCCTGAAACAGACGACACCACAGCTCACGGCAGGCCAGAAACAGTAGGCACAGCAACCCAAACCAAGGGCACCGCGATTTTATTTTATTAAAAAGAATTTCTTTTTCCCTTTATTGATTTTAGAGAGAGAGGGAGAGGGAGAGAGAAACATCGATGAGAGAGCACATCAATTGGCTGCCTCCTGCCTGCCCCCCACTGGGAATCAGGCCCACAACCTGGGCATGTGCCCTGACCTCCAACCTGCGACCTCCTGGTGCAGGGTCCATGCTGAGCCACTGAGCCACACCTGCGGGACGGCACCACTATTTTCAACTTAGGGTGACTATTTAGACAAAATCAACAGCATCTGGGGAATGATTTCTAGGTCAGACTTCTGCAGCCGGAGTAGCCGCGTTTCCCCATTTCTAAGGAGGTTCACAGCGATGGAAAAACCCTTAAGCAAGACACTAAAGAGGACGTCTGGCTGGCGGCCCCGACATGCTCTTCCCGGCGCCCAGGAAAGGCTCAGACAGGGTGTGAGTACCCCGCCCCGAGCACAGCTTATGGGGCCGCCGTGCTGTCCGCAGACGGACGGTGGAGGACACGGCCATCCTCCTGAAATGCGAAGAGACGCAAAACGCACCTACACTCGTCCAGATGAGCTCTTCGAGGTGATTAGACACAGAGCAACAAAAGCAGAGTTTCTTGGTTTGTTCGGGTATTTTTCACAAGAGCAGTTAAAAGGTGGAGAAAGTGCGTGTTAGGAGAAAGCACTGGGTTCAGGGAGGAGATGGGGCCCTGCCCTGGACGAGGCCGCCTGCCGGAGGGCAGGGACCAGGGGGACGGGCCACGCCTGCGTCACTGCCCCCTCCGCTCCTGGGGTGGGGGTCTAACGGCACCTGTGGGTCAGGGAGCGAGCTGAGAAGGAAATGAATCGGGCAGGAGCATCTGCACCCCCTCCTCACCCCACGCGAGCTGGGTGAGTGACAGCACCAGAATGGAGGAGCCCCTGTCCTCTGACAGCCACACGGACTGAGCAGATGGACAGACGATGTGACAGCGACAGCTGGGGTCCTTTTCTGTGCTACTTCCGGTCCCATTAGAAGCCAGAGGTGGGGGAATGGAGACTCAGTACCGTGTTCCAGTCCTCGGTCCCAGAAGTGGTTTCTTCCCACACCCGCCCCCCCCCCCCATCATCGGTGTCTCTCTTCTCCTACGTCTGTCCTTTTGCCTTCAAAAGACTCACCCACACTGTCCCAGCAGGACAGCAGCGAGAGCTGGCATCTGTGGAAGGTGGTGTGAGCCAGGCTCAGAGCACAACAGCCCCCCCACAGCACACTGCGAATCCGGGGGCTCTGTGCCCTGCCTCCGGACAGAATCCGGCGGATTCAACGACCTTCCTGAAGTCTGGGAGTGTTTGCGAGTGACGATCATCTTCCTAGGACTTCTCAGCCAAGGTTCTGATCAGAGACACTAGCAACACTATGTGGTTGTATAAAGTAAGGAGAGGAAAGAACTCACTGGTAATGAAAACCCGAAGGGATCGTGGATTCGAGGTAGAGGCCGGGAAAGAAAAGTCACGAGGGTTCGTGTTCTGCTCTCTTGGAGCCAGAATCCACTTAACCATCGGTGATCTTTTTTTTTTTTTTTCCTGTAAGCTGAATACTCTACGTGGGATGAGACCATGTGAATGCTAAAGAACATTGCAGCGAGGAAACAGAAAGGAATCTGTGTTAGGGAAAGACATCAAGGCGAGCATGACAGAGACACGTCCACGTCCACCCAGCAAGAGCCCAGGCAGAAGAGCGCAAAGGGAAACTGAGAGTTGAGTGATCCTCAATTTTGACTCTAAGGTCTGCTAACGTGGCCCTGAAGGTTTAGAAAGGTGCAGAGTAAAGCCCCAGGTGTCGAGATCTCATTTATCTGGCCAACTGATACACATCTGGGGAGCGGAGAAGGTACTGCCGGTCCGAAGTCACCCAGTTTCTCCAGAATAAAGAACTCAGACCGTCAAGACCCGGAGAGGTCAGCTGCACCAAGGGCTTCCCACAGGCACCTGCTCTTCCCAATCATCAACTCAGTTTCCATTCGAGCAACCTGTTACCTGTAGTCATGATCATGACGGGCCACTATCAACTGAGGACGAGGGGTTTCTCTGCCTGAAAGGTAAACAGTGTCATCGTGGCTCTTGGTGGGCTGGTCCCTCTCCACTCACTGCTACATTATGTTTTTCCTTCATCGTATTGAAACAGCATCCACTCCTTGATGTTTCATTGTTACATTTAGTAGTTTCTTTTTAAAATATGTTTTTACTGATTTTTTAGAGAGAGGAGAAGGGAGAAAGAGATAGAAACATCAATCGGCTGCCTCCTGCCCGCCCCCTACTGGGGATCAAGCCCACAACCCGGGCATGTGTCCTGACCGGGAATCGAACCGGGACCTCTCAGTGCATGGGACGATGCTGATCCACTGAGCCACACGGGCCCGGCAGTTTAGTAATTTTTATTTGCTTCAATGCAAACTGACTGGAGGTAGTACAGGAAAGAAAAATTTGGTATCTGTTACACCAAAGGGGGTTGATATTTGGTAGCTCTCACTTCACAGGAATTGAAGCTAACTCACTCTGTAAGAGGCAGCCTTTGAAATTTATGAAATCCTGCACTTTTCCATAAAATAAAAACAGCAAGCACAGCAGGATTCATGAGTAGCTGACGAAATTAATTTCAGACTGGATCAGCCATTTTGCCCCCGATGAACGCAATCACACATAGCTGGGGACAGCCACAGAAAGGCAGACACGGGAAACAGCGATCAACATACCGAAGACGCACTGTGGTCAGGCGTGCGGGGTGAAAAGCATACCACACAGCTGCGTGACCCTGTCGCAGTGGGACAGGGGCTTCACGTCTGTAAAGACACTACTGAGACGCCCTGGCCAGTTTGGCTCAGCGGTTAGAGCGTCGGCCTGCGGTCCGGAGAGACCGGGGTTCGGTTCCCGCTAAGGGCACGTACTTCGGTTGCAGTTTGTCCCCGGCCCTGGTTGGTTGTGCGGGTGGCAGCCACTCGATGTGTCCCTTCACGTCGATGTTTCTCTCTCTCTCTCCCTTCCTCTCTCTCCCTCCCACTCTATCTGTACAAAAAATGGAAAAATATCCTCGGGTGAGGATAAAAAAAAAAGACACTACTGAGACGGACTCCGTGAATACTCTGGGCGGCCCCTGGCAAGTGCTCAGAATGCCAGCTGCCGTCACAAGGACACGACCAGGTCGCGCCCTTGTTCTGTGCCTCCCTGCCAGAGACAGCAAGGAACCAGCTTCCGCCAGGAAAGGTTCGACGTCCCCTGAGAGACACACACAGAGACAGTGTGCCTTTCCGCGGGCGTGGTCCCCCCTCGAGCGAGCCAGCTCCTGCCAATCTGCTGGCCATCGGGAAGACGAGGGCTCGCGGAGTTTGCAAAGGCAGGTCTATCAGGAGCAGTGCTCCCACACGGGAGATCTGAGGGAGACAGAAGTGACCGTCACAGGCAACGTGCACAGGCAGACACGTAAAGGATGAAATTCCAGATGACGTAGGGATTCCGGGTTTGTGTCCAGAGAGCCGAAAGCCAGGGCTTGGCACAAGAGGAGAATCTGAAATACCCGTGAGAAGACAGGACATGGGATCTGGTGGTGAAGGGGCGGGGAGAGGTTCGTCTACGCTCTTATTTTGTGTTTGTCAATTGTAATGTTTTCTTTCTGTTTTGTATCTTCTTTTTCGCCACTCTATGCTCCATGTGAATTGGGTTTTCTTAGTTGCCCTATTTCTCTCTACTCTTCTGGAAGATACATGTTGCAATTCTGCTTTTTATATGTTTAACTAGTGCTTTCGGTGAAAGTGAGTGTTACATTTGCTCAGTCTTTATCTGAAAATTTCTTTATTTCAATCTTTTTAAATAACAGTCGGGCATATATGGAATTCAAAGTTGGCCATTACCCTGGCAGCTTTTTAAATTTTACTTTATTTCTTTATCTTTTTTTTTTCTTTTAATCCTCACCCAAGGACATTTTTTCCATTTTTTGTACAGATAGAGTGGGAGGGAGGAGAGGAAGAGAGAGAGAGAGGGAAACATCGATGTGAAAGGGACACATCGAGTGGCTGCCACCCACACGACCAACCAGGGCTGGGGACAAACTGCAACCGAGGTACATGCCCTTAGTGGGAACCGAACCCGGGTCTCTCCGGACCGCAGGCCGACGCTCTAACCGCTGAGCCAAACCGGCCAGGGCTATTTCTTTATCTTTTATTATTGAAAGTATTACAGATGTTCTTCCTTTTTTCCCCCACTGACCCCCTCCTCCCCATTCCCACCCACCCCTCCTGCCTGTCCACACTATTGCTTCAGTTCTTTGGTTTAAATTTTAAGTAAGATGTTACTGCTTAACATTCTGACCTCTGTGACTGCTGCTGAGATTAGTATTCCTTTTGGGGTCATCAGTTTTTTTTCACTCTGGTCCCTAGTTTTGTGTAGGTGTTCTAGGGTTTACCACAAGGTATGTAGATAGAACTTTTACCGTATTTATCCTGCTCATGACATTTGCCCTTTGATCAGAGGACTCATCCTCCGCCCCAGCTCTGCAAATGCTCATACATTTCTATTCGCACGTGAATCCTGTTGGCTGTTTCCAGAGCCCCTACTGGATGCCTGCCGACATGTTTCATTCACTTCTCTCTCTTGTCAGTGGTGGTTCAGATTTTCCCATTGCATTTTCCTGCGTTGTTACATTCTAATATTTTAAGCTACAATTTCAGTTTCTAGATTCTCAACTGTGCTCACGTGGTATTTAAGGAGCCCACTCATTATGTTTTCTGGTGGCTTCTTTACAAGAATTTTAGAGGTTTTATTCAGTTCTTTCTAACGACAAGAATCTAAGCACCATGGGAGACAGGGTTTCCATTTGTTAAATGCCGTATCCCTAGTGTCTTGAATAATGACAGATACACGACGCTCAATTAGTCATTTTGATGCATGAGTTTGAAAGGGCTC